ACTATTTCGAATTATTGGTATAATTTCAATACACTTAGTCACAGACATCATTAATTCAGTGTAGTGATATCAATACTTGATGATGATAAATCGATTTAAAGATATCACTATTACACATACACATACGAGAACGCGAAGCTACAATATCTAATTACTTCTGTGGATCTTAAATGATGGTTTAGAGTCTATATACAAGGACAAAGTGTGTATATGTAACTACGCATTTGTGTGTAATAGAATATTGTGTATTTTGCGTGTAGACATTCAGAAGTGCAGAAAAAAAAAGTGATATCGCCATGTATATACGTATCATCTGAGTTAGCAAGAACCTTTGCAGGTGGCTTGATAATCGGTTTATAAAATTTTATAATTAAGATATATTAGAAGTTTAAACGACTTCGTAAATAATAGACATTGTTTTGATTGACATAATGCCATAATGATAACAAATACGAAATGGATGTCGTTAATAGATTAAGAGATAAGATGACGTGTTTTTCATAATCATTCCTTTCTCCTCGTTGCGACAGTGGCCATTAACAAGTAAACGATGAATATTTCTTTGCGAGTGCATTATGTCTTCGTGAACACATCGGATCGTAAAAAGAGGTACTGTGGTGTCTGTCTTGAGACAACCACTGATCAGCACCTCAGGAGGTAGGTATTTCGTGCAAGCAGAGGAGGATGTTCTGTCCGAACTTCCGTCCTTCGAGTTTTCGGTACTGGATAGGGATGTTCGGACACTTTTTATGTTGATTTTTATCACTTCATTTTTTTATTTCCATTTTGCAAAATATGTAACTTTTATATACAGGCAAAACTCTTCGAAAAGGATACCTTCTAAGTTCTGTTAGTATGATGTTAAAAGAACGCCGATGATAACGAACATGTAGAGTTAAGTGAACAAGCTTCCAATATCTTGGGGATATCCATGACGTGAAAACACGAAATAACTTTTAGCCAATCGGTAGACGCGTTACAAAAATGACACGCATACCATAAGCTGAAGAATTTTATTGGCTATGACATAAGAATCATTTTTCGCAATGTACGCTATGTTGATTAACTGCCATCAAACAATTACATCAATTACTTGAAACATGTTCATAATATGAGATTTATTTAGAAACTGACCGATGAAATACCAGTATTATTCTAGTGCGACCCATAGGTACACATGTATTACATAAAATCTCTAATGAGCCATATTTCTTGGTAAACTTCCTTTTTATAACTCACATTATTTAAATAAAGTTGATTTTTCATCTCTCGGTCTACAACTCGCTATGTAAATAAAATCGGAAATGAGCTGTGAAAGGTGATACTTTATAAATCAACATTTTTCAATATAAGACGTGCAAATATGGACTTTCATAGCCAAAAAATTGCAAGAAGGCGTGGCTAATTATTCAAGATCAATCTTTATTTACATGAAGGACGACAAAGAAATATCGTCATCTGAGGATGAATTGATAGATTATTTTTCCATATTTAGGAGGATTTCTGACGTGTAGTAAGACAAAATACACAAATTTGCCAATTGAATATATATTAATAATATTTCTTTATGGTGAATGGTTTAAATCACAGATTTTTGCTGTTTCTTGAAGCAGGACATATTACAACAACCAAAATTATCCGAGGGCAAGATCAGGATGGTCAATAATTTATATGACACGGCTCTACAAAATGGCCCTTAAGAAATATATAACGGTTCGAGACCGATGTCCAGGAGATACGGGATTTCCAAAGTTCCCTTTCCTTACCCTATAGCATGCCGAGGTAGCCACTATATAGTTTATACAGGATGACAGTGTATCAACCGGATCAAATCTGAATTAAACTAAATTTGGAACTTATAGTAATTAACATTTCATTTCACACTCAGTTCTCGCGTTAAACATATCTTTGATATTCTAATATCATAAATGTTAGGGATCATTCCTATCTATGAATCAAAACAGTTTAGGAAACAACAGTACACTGTACTTCGATATGCCGTCCATTACTAAAATTAGACTAATATTCTTTATTTGAATGATTTATGATCGACTATCTTCAGTCGTTTACTACTTGAGTAGAATCCAATACAGGTGTTTTATCTTCACATTCCGCGGAAGTTGACAATCACTGTGAATAAATCCTTCAAATTTCGCGGGTTATAGGAACTCTCTAATGTGTCACGAAAACGTTTCGATTTTAGGATTGCACAGTCAAACCTCTCATTGACATTGATGATACACAAAAAACAAACTCCGGTCTGCTGGAAGTCAAGTTTGTTATAATTGATCAATCGGAAGGGCAACATTCGAAAGGTAATTTCCAAATATGGACGTAGGTTTACTTTTTTAATCAAGGAATACTAGGTCGATATGTCCTGTCGTTAACTAGTCCGACATCCTTGGATTAATTAGGAACAGCTGAACTCGGACACATTAGTTTAGACTGCAGTCACTTGTAGTTGTAGGTTATTTGCAAAATAAATAATAAAATATGCAGCGTATTGATTGATTGATTTGTTTAAAAATCAATCAACCATACAACGCACTTTATGATTAATCCTAAGGACAGCGTCACTGTAGCATCTATGGACGGATAAGTGAATCTAGTTTTTAGAATGACTCTTACCTGTACTATCACTGGCAATATTGAATAATGGTTTGATGCAATATTTTGTGAAAAAAGTAGACAACAACGTATATGATTTTTGAAATTTTTGTTTACAATTGTAGTTTATCATTATTTCGGTACATGAATGAAATAAAAAAAAAATGTGATTTATTTGTATACTAATATATATTGTCTAGACATCGGTTCCGGACCGTTATGTATTTCGGAACCGCCATTTTGTCCAGCCATACCATATAAACTATTGACCTTCGTGGCCTTCCACCGCGATAATTTTGGTTATTGTAACATGCAACGCTTCCAAAAAGAATACAAAATGTGATTTAAACCATTCACCATAAAAATATTTTATGAGTATATAGTTCATTGGTAAATTGGTGTATTTTTCTTAGTACACATTTTCACATGTCAAACATCCTCCTAGATACGATGAAATAACTTATCAATTCATCCTCAGGTGCCCATGTTTCATTGTTGTCTGTATGTTAATAAAAATCGACCTTGAATAATAATACAACCATCCAAACGTCTTATATTGAAGAAAAATGGTGATTTATAAATTATCACTTTTGATGACTCATTACCAATTTTATTCAAATAGCGAGTTGTAGACTGAAAGATGAAAATCAACTTTATTTGAATAGTTTATGTTGTAAAAAAAGTTAACCAAGAAATATGGCTCATTGGAGAAAAAAAGGCACCACACAATAAAAATTCAGAAAAGGTGCACACATAAGCACAGATATCCACCACATTCACACCATAAATGTATTTTGATTTTCATTTTCATCAAAATGTCATTCCCATTTATGTAATACATGTGTTCTTCTGGGTCAGACTAAGCTAACTCCAGCATCTCTGATTTAGTGATGTCATCTGAAACAGCGGTACAGTCACATGTCCAATGCAAATGTCAATCATTGCAGATGAGCTAATTTGAGGTCGTATCTGTGGATATTTTTGTAGAAAAGTACTGGCATTTCACAGATGAGTTCTTAAATTAATCTTACAGTATGAACACATTTCAAGTCATTTATGTGTTTGTTTGATGGCAGTTCATTAAAATAGCGTAGCTAATGAAAAATGATTGCTAAGGTGTGTGAAAGTAATGCACCAAGGATATAAACATTGTATCTGATCATAAGTTCAGAAGAGAAAACTCCTCTGTAATGAGGGGTTGGCATATTGGAGCTACATTATATCCTTGCTAATCCAAGGATGTTCCAAACCTGTTTGTTGCATAATACATTGCAAAGAGTAATATGGTCATCTTTTAACATAGCATGTGAAGGAATTTCCATGTAATTGGCTCAATTACTATTTGCGGACTTGATCTCAGACGGAAGCATTCTCACATTTATTCATAGCCTGCATGTGTCATGATACACATAAGTTGCTGGAACCTAGAATGCTGTTTTACCCAGCTATATTTACAAAAGTAAAAAAACGATTTAAAAAATCACCTTTTGACTTGGCAAGCTACACACCAATGTGTCTGATTTCAGTGGCGAAATCCAAATTATTTATGACAAGATAATACCAGGATTTCCAATGCATCTCCAAAATCCAAGGTTATATATATCTTCTTGAATCTTCTGATGTTTCTAATCTGGTAATTTATCTGAATGTAGACTGTTCAATTATTTACATTTTGCTGACATTTTATTCTTATGCAGAATGCAATTTCTACTGAATTGACTTGTGCTATGCAAGATAAGGCAGTGTCAGGCACCCAATCATGAAAGCAAACAGGATGCATTTATTCTTGTTAACAGGAAGTGGAGTTGGGATGGGAAGTGGGCTCGGGATGTTACAAGTCACTACTTCCATGCTCCTGTACCCTGCACTTGCAATTCCAAACCCCTAACTGACAGCCCCTTTATTTCTGATGTTCCATACTGCTTCTTAGCTTTTCCATCCAAATTTCCATTTTTCATTATGAAATTCTGAAGTGCTATTTTTATAGGGGAAAATTTCTATTTCATATGTGGACATTATTTCTCACTAAATTATCTTCAAATTATTCTCTTTTCAACACAGTATCATACTGAAGGTACCTTGGGTAATTTTAAATCACAATTTTATTGAGAACATTTGACATACTATGAAATCATATATTTTCATGGGTCTTTTTTTTTGGTGGTCTTTCAAAAAATACAATTTCACGGACATAGAGTCTGTCCTTCAGCAAGACACTTTACCCTAATTGGTCTGTTTAATTTTTTTCCTGCATACACCATAACCACTCTTGTAAGTCTCATATGCAAAGTTAGTCCTCATCAAGCATACTCCTCTACAGTTTTTACACGAACTATATTTTATTCTTTTTTTGTACCATGTCATAAACAGGGATTGAAAAGTTTTCGCCAACCATGGCTGGATTCTTCAAGCAAGTTGTGGGTGGAATCAAAGGGATTGTAGATGCAGCCTCAGCAAATATCAGCCCATTTAAAGTGCAAGTTGTTAAACCGGAAGATCATGCTGGGTAAGTCATTGCTTTTGGTTGAAAAATTATATTTTAAAGCTGATGATAGGCAGATTATCGAGAGTAACCAAAAATAAATCTATAAAGGAATTTAATGAAGTCCATTTTGATAACTAATCAGTGCCAAAATTACAAAGATGATTGATCACAAATGACTTTGAGATTACAGAAATCCAGTTCAATGAAACCAATAACACTTATAGTCAATAAGTGATCAGTTATGTGTTTACATGTATATTGTACAGTTTTCAGCTTACCTATATAAGATATTATGGTTTATGAAACTGAAACAGAATGCTATCACTAATGATAGGTAGATCTCAATCATCTTTCATATTTTATTTATTTATTTTTCTTCTTGGAAGAGACAATTAAACAATGTTTTAATATCTCGTATAACTTGACCGATATTGATAAAATGTTGTTCTCTCGTGGTATTGTAGAAAGATCAGATCAAGACGGTTTCATGATATGAATCTAAAATTTCAAAATTTACTTTGTTATTGATACACACTATAACTGTTGTATAAATTATTCATGAAATGAGATACAGGTATTTTTTAGATAAGAAAGATGATTTACAGTATCACATATTGTCACGTTTCTTTCCCTAAAGGCTGACTATCAAAAACAATGATGGTAATGTGACACTGTTTCGAAGATCTGGCAGCTACGAATGTGTGGTCTACACGAGGGGAGTACAAAGCAAGGTTTTCAGGTAATCTCCACTACTCCACCATCTGTCAGTTAATCTTCTTCGGGTGGCTGGGTGCACATAGTGCTGTGATAATGCACTTGCCTATCACCTAGCAATCCGGAGGTTTGATTCCCAAACATGACTTAAAAGGTAAGGGGTCACCTGTCTGACCATGTGGGTTTTGTCCTGGGTACTCTGGTTTCCTCCCACAATAAGACACCTGGGCCAACAAGACTGATTGAACTTGTTACACAATTGTTATAAAGTAAATAAAAATTATATAATCTTCTGCATAAATTCTATGTATGTAATTTGATATTTTCCCCATATTTCATTTCCTTTGTCATAATCTTTTTTCTAACATTGCTCTGTAATCTTGAATCTGATGCATTTTGTAGTGTAGAGTTTGAATTAGAGCCAATTTGGAGGAGGGAGTGGATATCATTTGTATGTGTGCAATCACTTGGATAATGGCTCATATCCTGTAGATGTCACTATTTTGTAAATTTGAGCCAAAATGTCTAATGACTTCTGGGATACAATGTATACATAAACACATTAACAAAATCATAACTTTGTAAGAGCAGTATTCTGTTCATACACGTATCAGTTTTCTTATTGATTTCAAAATACTGTTATTTCCAAAGCTTTTCCAAATTTTCATTATTCCTGTTATAAAAAAAAATTGTGTATGAGTTCTCAAAATCTGGACAGTAAAGTCTTTCAGTGTAACTTCAGAACAAAGTGTTTGAAAAGTTTTTTCCAGGAAATCTTTCACTTTAGTAAAGTTCAGAGTTTATGTATTTGTCATTTATCTATCATAACTTTGAGATCAATTCCAGACAAATTCCACCTAAGTGCTAATTCTCCAACAAAGTATTCCATACTTTCAAAATTATTGCATCAATAAGTTGCATGCTTTAGGCATGAAAAACAGTCATGTGTTTCTTGTTTCACCTTTTCAAAAATTTTGGGTTGGTAGGAAGGAAATATTTTTTAGATATATCTCTGCTACAAGGAAATTTTTGGGTTGGGGGGGGTGGGGGTGGGCATATAGTCGCCACCTTGTTTAGTTACATATTACAAATTACAATATACACCTGAACAGTAGATGATATGTAAATTTCAAGTACATCATATTTGTGTAACTGTAGACCTTAACCTCTAGAACATTATCAACACACACCTTAACCTCTAGAACATTAACAACACTGGTAAAATATGAAGGTGCATACGTACATGAGAGATGAGAGGTTTGTTACCTGGGACCAAAGTCTTGTGTTCTCATGGCATTAGCAAGTGTTCATCCTTGATACTCAAGGGGTAAAATTGAGAACACAAGTGAAATAATTTGATTGTTTCCAGGAGAAAAAACTGACCAATGACAGGCTGATATGCTCCTTTTGAAGGTTATATAGAAGTGACACCCAACTTCAAAGCCATTACAAGATACTGTTATGTGACCTCGAGATTCATTTGATGTTGCATCAGAGGACCAAACTTGTCTTTGCACATGGAACCTTCAATTTCACCATGACATGTCCAGGGGTACAGAGAGCGATAGTGATAGTGACCACTGGAGTTTCAAGGATGGCAAGCATTTTGGTGATGAGCTCATTGACAAGCTCCTATAAAAATTGAACTGTGCATCAGAAATAAAGATCTATGGAAATTATCCCTGACTTTAGGATATACTCCTCTGATGTTTTGACTGGAAGACCTAAATCAGAATTCCAACATAATATCTTGGACTTTGGTAGTCTTATACACTATATTATCTACAGCTGTACTTTCAAAACCTTAAAAAGGGTGATTTTTATGACATTTTAAAGAAATTTCGCTAGTGTATTACTTTTTTTGACAGTGTACTTGATAGCATGATACAGTTAATAGCATCAACAATTTCAATGTTTTCTGGTTGCTAAATATAAGGTACTTCTATTGAATGTAACTCTGGAAATTTTGAGTAGATTTCAACTAAATTTTGCATGAATTATCACCACAAGCAATAAATTTCAAATTTGTAAATTCTTGAGTAGTGGATCACTTTTCCAGATTTTTAGGACCAGAAAAGAAATAATTCAGCTTGTTACTTTATCTTGGAAAGACTATCTTTTTTGGGTGAAATTTGCAAAAAGAAAAGCACAGTGACTCTTTAAAGTATCATTGAAAAGTATTTTTAAAAGTTTAATACTAGAAGATAGTAAATTAAAGGATTTTGGTCATTTTAGAACATTTTCATGTTTTGGTTGCTATGAAGTTCCGGAAAGCATGTAAAAATTCAGCATTTTCAGCATGATTTTTTCTTATATCCAAATATCATACCCTTATCTTATAATGAAAGACAAAAAATTAATCAAAAAAGGTTTCTGCGAAAATAATAGAGAATATCTATTATTTAGGAAAATAAAAAGAACAATATGTGAAAATGATTATTTCTTGTCACACATATTCTGATGTAGTGCAGCAACATTTTGATTTTTGGCTTTTAATCCATTTTCTGAGATGAAACATTTGAAAAAATCATCGTTTGAAAAAAAGTTTAATACTGGAATTTTTTTTTTGTTCTTTAGGAGTAAATCCTTAAAGTAAGCTAGAGTCCCACAATAAACCCAACCAACTTAATTTTCTGTGTAAAGCAGATTTCTCTGACTGTGACCAACTTTATACATATGTAACCCTGGTGAAATGCCAGCCGCAAAATACCGCTAGGCTAGAGAGAACTTCTCTTTAGCTCGATCAGTTGAGCATCAGACTGGTAAGCCAGGGATCCAGGGTTCGATTCCTAGCATAGGCGTTGAAATTCATTATGACCTCAGTTACACATGTCAAAACTTCTAACTTTTGAATTCAATTTAAAATTTGAATTTAAATGTGTTTTGTGAAATGAAATATTTTTGTCTGTTTTTACTCCACCATCGTCAGATGGCAAGCTATTCAAATTGTCACATGGCCACAGTCCATCGCATATCCATCCTTAAATAATTTTTGTTTTCGTTATTTCTTGAAAACCACTTGGTGAATCTTTCTTAAATTTTATCTGAAGATCTCTCTTGGTCCCTAGTTGTGTATGTTTGATTTTGGGAATGATCAGAGAAACAAAATAGCCAACAGATGGCCATTTTTGTTTTTTACAATGAAAGTTTGTTATTGCTATTTCTAGATACTATAGCAGACATTCTTGGAAATAACATTTCTGTAGACTGGTGTAAAACCTAAATTTGTGGTATTCTAACTTCATATGATCACTTTGTGATTATGAAAATGCTACACAATGAAGTTAGGACATCAAAATTGAAACAATGAAACACTTCAGCCAATTACAGCTCCAGTAGACGTTTTTACATAATTGGTTATAATAAAATTTCTGTAGGAAATGAGTGTGATATTTCATAAAGTGAAATTTCAAACAAAAGTAGAAAAAAATTGTTGATCTTTACTTTTCTTTCAGCATATTCCGTCTGACGAACGATGGGGAGGCTTATGCATTATTTAATGTCTTCACACCCAAACTGAATGCCCTAACCAACTGTAGTAGCTCATTGGCCAATGAAAAAGTGATGCAGAAAGTGTGTGACTGCATGAGAGACCATCAGACATGGACGACGGCCCATGTAGCTGCCTATGTTGGCTTGTTTGAATGCTTTAAATTTACAGACATTAAAAGGTTAGTATATCATGATAGGTAAAATAAATAGAAATATTCATAATTATTTGTGAATTACTTGAATGTAAAAGTGGCTGTCTATGCTGACTCTACATGTTAATCTTACAAGATGTCATTGATTCACAGGATTGTAATCAATTCAATCCAAATGATGTCAGAGAAAAAAATATTTTACATATATTGGCTTTGATTTATCAAGCTAACAGATGAACTCTGCAACATTTAAATATTTTTCTTTTTACTTCCTGGTATATCTGTAGATATTTTTTGTTGCTAATGAAGTAGAAATAAAAAAAATGGTGTGAATCATTTCTGATGCTAATTCAAATGGTTTCTCTGATTTCATATGATAGGGTACCGTGTTATAATGATTTATACATGTCTTGCAAGCTACCCTTTTACTGTCTTGGTATCGGGTTCTGGCTGACCATGTCATAGATCATTCCTGGATCCTTCATGCCTTGTTAGTAAGAGTGAAAAAAGGCTAGGTTGGCTTGTACATGTACTCAGCTGACAGAACATTCTTCTTAAACAAGATGGTAGCATTGTAGATGATTATGCTGGGAACAGAGTTGGATATCTAACATAACACTCATCACAAATTTTATTATATCTTCTTCTCACTGCTCTGTGATCAAGTCCACCTATCAGGTGTCAAGAATCAGGACACGAACTTCATTTTGTTTTACAGCCTCATAAACAGTCAATGTACAGCTACTGGTGCTACCCCATTGATGGCGGCAATCATGGGGAGACAACTCCAATGTGTTCAGGAGCTGCAGGCATGTGGTGCCTCAATGGAGGTTCAGGATCAAAATGGAGACACTGTGTACCATTACGCTGTAGAAGCAGATGTAAAAACAATACCTGTAACTATTATTTACTTTATACGCCTCCACCATTTTATGGGCGGCATCTCGTGTCGTCCATGTCTGTCATGTCCCGTCATATTGTATCATGTCCAATCCTGTCCCATATAAATGGGATGGAAGTGGGAGGCATTCGTACAGCTGTCTTATAGAAGCTTTCTATTAGTTAAAAGTTTTTTGCTCAGAGCTGTTATTTTATTGTTAAACAGTCCAGTTTGCCTCTACATATTCAGTAAGAGTCATCTCGCAAGAAGTCCTATCCACATTTATTTCAACCTCCGTGAGTAGAGATCCCAAATAAATCCTATGTCTTTCATCTTTTGATGATCTTAACATTCCTGACTTAAAGTTTGGGTCTTATTCATTTACCTGTTTGGCATTTTAAAATATTAACTGAAATTCAACAATATTATCTGCACTGGGGTTTGTTTATCATTCAGATCATGTCAGATTTTCTAATAGATGAAACATAAGTAAAGATGTGAATATGTCTGTTTTATGATTTACATGCATGTTGCTAGGTTCTGACTCGCACTGATGTCAACAAGGTAATGAACTGGATGAACAATTGTGGCCAGACCTGTCTCAGTGTGGCCTGTGAGAAAGGTATGTTCGAGGCTGTCGAGGAGCTGCTGCAGGCTGGAGCGGATCCCTTTATATCCTCTGCGGATAGTTTCCCAATTCACCAAGCAGTCAAAACTGAAAGCATGAGGTAGATATATGGAATCACTGTTGATTTCTAAATGTTAAAATTTTAATATTCTTTCATTTCTGATCCATAAATTCATCAAACATTGCTGCTGTCTGTGGGTTCACTTATCTAAAATATAGTGCTCCCTCAACAAATTGCCACCCTTGCATACTGTCACCTACACCTTAAAAACAGATTTTCACACTGTATAATTCCCTCATCAGATCCTCACATAAATACTAGAGTTCAAAATCACAATATAGTTACCTTCATCTTACAGCCTGGTTGGCTGTTATAGAACTGGCTTACTGCTCTTTTGATTGACTCAGGGTAATTCCCCTTTTCATTACCTTCATCTTACAGCCTGGTTGGCTGTTATAGAACTGGCTTACTGCTCTTTTGATTGACTCAGGGTAATTCCCCTTGTCATTACCTTCATCTTACAGCCTGGTTGGCTGTTATAGAACTCGCTTACTGCTCTTTTGATTGACTCAGGGTAATTCCCCTTGTCATTACCTTCATCTTACAGCCTGGTTGGCTGTTATAGAACTCGCTTACTGCTCTTTTGATTGACTCAGGGTAATTCCCCTTTTCATTCCATGTTGAACTTTTGGTGACAATTTGCAAATAAAACTAAAAAAAATTAAAATAAGATCTCTGGTATCTGAACATTTTCTTTTTATTTATTGGCAATTATATAGATTATAAATGTCAGTAAGAATCAATTAACTTGTAAACATATACAGTAAACTCTGTTTAAAAAAAAAGTTTTACAATAATATTATTTTAAAATTTTGATACTAATGCAAACCTTGTTATCATTTCAAAGTCGACATATTTTGATACTGCTGCAAACCTTGTTATATAAGGCAACATTTACAGAAGGTGGTATTATAACAAGGGTAGAATGTAAGTCGCTGTGGCATTAATATTCACTTTTGAGCTTTACCCTTAAGACTCTCTGTCCTATCTCCATCTCTGATTTTCCTGATATAAATGGCATTCATTGAAACATAAGGCAAAAATTGCCTTGCAATGCTAGATTTTGTTGAATACTGTGAACATATATTTTTGGTGCAAACTTTAACTGTATTACCATTAGCCTGAAGAAAAGTTTCCAACAAAGTTGTTGGATGGTCATCAGTTCAATAATCTTATTTTTCAAGATTCAGTTTTTTTTTTTCAATTTTTGTTTGTTTTGTTTGTTTTGTTTTTTTTGTTTAATTTTTTTTATCCAATCTTTAAAAATAACCATCCAATTTTCGCACAATTTAGTAACAAATGATGGCAAGTTTACAGCTCATTGAATTGGAAATATTTTTGGTATTATCTAGGTATATCCTATTTTGTTCAGGTGTGTTGATATTCTCCTTAAGAAGTACCCCGACCTTGCAGGCTTGCGAGATAACAAAAACGGAGGAACAGCGTTTCACTGGGCTAGGACTGATAAGGTATGTTATTATTGTGTCCAGAAGTTCAAAATGGAGAAATAAAAAAAGAAAAGAAAAAAAGGAAAGAAAACACAGTTAAATAAAAGGGTAAGAAACAAACCATAGTGGATAAAAAGAAGAAAAAAACACAGATAAAGAGAAAAAAAAAAGGAGATGAAAAAAAAACAAAAAAAAAAAAACACTCGGGTTAAAAGAAAGAAAAGATTAACTTATAAGAAAGAGAAGAAAAAACAAAAACACACTCATTATCATGGAAAAGGTGTTATACAGGAGTTTGGTGATGAATTGAAGGATTTTTGTTGGTTCAAGGCTTTGTTGCAAAGGTTTTCAGGTTGCTAGCGAATAGGTAGGACTTTTCATTAAATTTAAAAAAAAACTGATGTTTTTAGGGAAAGTCTCTTTCATTCGAGAAGTAATGAAATGGATGGGTTTTTCTGTTAGTTTTATCGTCAGTGCGTCAGTTGTTAATGATTTATTAAAATCTCCAAAATAATGAAAAGCAGAACACTTCAAAATAACAAGTTTTACATGTAGAATATGTTAGGTAATGAACCAAACTCCAGCATTACACAGAAGTTTTGCCCTTCTAGGTCTACTTAGTAACGCCAGGTTTCAAAAGTGTGAAAATCCAAAACAGTAAAATCATTTATTTTCGTGGGATATTTATTTTCGATGATTCACAAAATCAAGTGCTAACAAAAATGTAGATTTTTCGAAAGTTACAAAAATTGAGCCCCTGGATAATAGGATTTCACAGTTTACAAAGGATGTGTATAGATATAGGTAAGACATTGTCTCTTAAGAGAAAGTCATGTAATGCTTTTTATATTTGTTTATTAGATGATGGAGTTGCTATGTAAGAGTAAATGTGATGTGAACATTCGAAGTAATACCAGCCACACACCACTACACATTATGCAACAAGAGAAGAGAATCAACTCTATGATGGTGTTGTTGTGTTATGGTGCCGACGCCACGATAGCTGACAAAAATGGAGACACACCTCTTCACCTGGCAGTCAGGGTAAAGTGAATACAAGGAATACAAGCACTACGTGGCATTTAATTTTTCTGTGTGAAATATTTCATAGTTGATTTTTGTTCTGTGTGAAAATTTGTGGTTTTTCATTTCATTGCTGTTATGATTCTTTCCACATAGTGTCACTGATTATCTGCTTAGTGTTGGAGTTACTTCCCCTTGTTCAACAAATTGGTGTTGTTTACTATATCGTTTTAAACCAAGAGCCTGCCACATTGTTAGTGTCTGCAATTCAAAGTTTATATTTTTAATTTGTATGTAATTTTTACAAAATTCTAAACAACTTAAATAGGTCAATAATTACATGGTCTGTGGCATTTGATAGTTAAATAGGTCAATAATTACACGGTCTGTGGCATTTGATAGTTAAATAGGTCAATAATTACACGGTCTGTGGGATTTGATTTTGATATCTATTTGGGTAACTGTAATTACTTTTGTTTAATTTTGTCTGAGACACATGTAATATCTAACAGTTGTCTCCTCTGGTGCTATAGATCATGGGAGTTAAGTTTTGCTTTACTCCATACATTTTTAGAAAGGTATGCATGGAAACAGGCATATAAACACTATGTTAGATATTTATTCACTCTACAGTTCAAAAATTTCAAGAAGGAATTAAATTACCCCTGATATCTTCAATGACTGAGAATGAAGGAAAATTGAATCCCAAACGAATGCTGTCAAGTATACATGGAATTAAAAAGGCATGTGTAGAATACTGATGGGTCTTTCCAAATTAAAGCATTTGAGGTTATATGAAAGGGTATCAAAATTTTGTATTAGTATATGTCGTTTTAAAAAAAATTTTTGAGTTAAAAAATACAATTCATATATCATGAATTTGATTTAATTTAGATGTTGCAGCATATATAAACACTAAGTTTTGAACATTTTATGAAAAGAAAATGAAAGCTTTGTAATTGTCTGTGATTTTGCACTTTATACAATTAACAGGTTGTTTATACTGTAAACTAGGAATTGTTTGTTCAACAGTTTAGGATTGAAATGATTGGTTAGATATAACAAAATATATAATTCTCTCATTATAAAGTGTTCAGACTTTAAAGTTAGCTCCTCCTCTATGATAACTATTTTTCAAAAAAAAAGTATACATTTTCATCTGTATATAGAACGACGATGTTGAAATGGTGCGTACTTTTGTGGTGTTCGGAGCCGATGTCAATTTACGCAATGCACAGAATCAGACAGCCAGACACATTGCATCTGTCAACAATGGGAAAAACAAGTAAGAAATGAAGAGTACCACATAGTCAAAATGTAACTGGAAATCTGAATTCAAAATGAAATCTTAGATAATTTTACAGTTGGCTAGCTTCTTTTTTATGGTTCAAGGTATTAAAAAGAGTGTTTTGTGGTTTTCAGTGTTGAATTGTTGGAAAAATAAGCTCTTTGTGGTGTTGTATTGTTATCTGATTTGTTATTTTATGGAAATGTCACAAGATAAACCTTAAATATGATCCTGATATTCAAAGTGAGAGAAAATGTTATGCATTAAGTTAAATCTGCCTCAAAGATTACTCATGTATTACAAATACCTGTCCATGAAGTTCACCACTCTATAACACATGCCTGTCTATAACGGCCTCTTTTGTTACCTTTAGTGGCCTTTATAGACAGGTTTAACTGGAAATCAAATGGCATCCATAACTATCACCATTAATATTATATTTTTAATTTTAAAGGGATATAATTATATTCATCCTGCATGTGTCGGGGGCAGGGCGCTGTACAGCTGAGGTTAAGGGCTGTCAGAAGGGATGTTTCTGTGAGGGAGCTTACGCTGGTACCCCTGATGAAACGATGAAGAACATGATGGATGCAGACAAAACAGGTATATTCCGAAAACATTTTAAAATCAATTTACAATGATCTTTTCATGATAACTTGATTCTAAGCATTCTGTAATGTACCTCCCAACAAACAAGAATTCTAATTGATTATTCATGATTTTCCTGGTTTTGAATTCTTTGCCATGATTTTAACTATAGGATCAAATAAAATAGAAAAAGAAGAATCAAACATCTGTCAAAGTTTAACTCCTTTCAGAACAATTTTAATTTGATGTTTTACAAAATGAGGTATATTTTTTTCCAGCCATACTAGATGAAATGTTTGCATCCTTCCCATTTGATGAGACTTTATGCAAAGCAGAAGAAGCTGGCTTTGGACTGGATTCCCCTGACTCTGGTACTGGTATTCCCCCAGGTGATAGAGTAAGTCTACAGTTAAATCTTTAAATAATTAAGTCCCCCTTACTGTTGATTGGACCCCAATTCTTCTTGTTCTTCTTGTTTCTGCTGTAAAGGTTTCCAACACTTTTCTCTAAACTAAGTTGGATCATCACTGAGCTTTTTAGGGATCAATACTAGTGATCTTCAGATGTGCAAACAATTACTGATTTGGCATGTTGGATGCCAATGTCTGGCTCCTGATTGGCTAATATCTATAACTTTTGTTCTAATTAGCACATCAAGATGAGAATTTGAGAAAATGAGATCTGCACAACATTCTGTAAGATGGTTAGTAGAAAGTCACATGTCACCAAAATGGCTGCAAAATGGAGGTTTTCTATTGGTCAAAATTTACATAGATATTGTCAAATTTAAGTGAAACTTAGTATGTACACTTCTGGTGTACTATGACATCTGAAATATGATAGTGACATCCATTTTCTGAGGTGCTGAGTCAAAATGGCCAACCAGGGACTTAAAGAACATTTTATATTTTTTTCAAGTGCATGACAAGGTTCCATGCCATTGTCATTTTCATTATTAAAATTTTAACGGTGTACACCAGCTTGTTTTGCAGAACTTCCATCCCTATGTTGAACTGTTGTAATACGCATCCTTTATTACTGAAGGAATAGTTCGGGAACCTATGTGATAAATTCTGTTACATTGAATGCTTGTTTACTATTACTATTTGGAAGACTAGGATAATCTATTGTTTATATTTTATCCGAAGTAGAAAAAAACATATAAAAATACATAATTTGAACTTTGTTATACCTTCACTATCATATTAGTGAACTTTGTAAACTGCCACTGCTTGTCAGGACAAATTTTGCCACTGTAAAGGAGATGGACTTGTTTAAAATACCACTATTGATTCAAGAAGAGGGATGCTTTAATTTGGGTCACTCTGTTGACTCTTACTGGTTACCATAATCTTTTGCAAGCTAATATAAGGTGACAGCTGTATGTATGCTCTTAAAAATGTACTATTGGCTTACAATGATTATTGGAGTTATCAGGATCACCTCAATGTTTGTATGGTTTGGATAGTCACCACTGTTCAGGAGAACAAATGACATGTTTTAATTTTCTGTACCTTGAAACAGCTGCTCTGTCTAGATGGAGGCGGCATACGAGGCCTGGTACTCATACAGGTATTGATGGCTATAGAGAAGGAGGCGGGCATCCCCATAAAGGAGTGTTTTGATTGGATAGGAGGCACAAGTACTGGTGGGATATTAGCCCTCGGAATTGGTATTGGTGCGTACTCATAGCTTTTGTTTCTGCTACATTATACTGTTATATGGTAAATCATGCAAGCAAACAGAGATAATCATGGAGGGGCGTGGGCTCTCTTTTCATTATTTTAATTCTACATAGAATGACAACTCTATGTTTTAATCTTAAATATAATAAGTGTAATTTTCCCCATTACATTCACTTGTCAAGGTTTTCAAAGCAAACGACACTCGATATCTTTTACTGGGTGATTCTTTAAGCTGCATCATGTTGTAAATCCTGCCAAAATTCATACACTTAACAAGTATATGTGATTCTTTAAACCTTTTCGTCATTGGAGTTACTAAACATTTGAATAAAAAAGTGAAGTACTTTTCACACAAAAAAATTGCAATGCATTACAATAATTATTCTATCTTTTTATTTTCAATCTACCTGGTATACATTTTTCATGATATCATTTCATTCCTGAAAGAATTCAAAGAAGAACAAATGAAATGAGATTGTACAGTATGCGAGATATTAAGAGAGGGGGTGGAGACATCTCGATTAACCTCATATAAAAAAGGAAAATCTGAAATCTTTAACGAGTTAAAAGCGTTATGTTTCATAAAACAAACTTGTTGCATTTTGGACCACCAAAAAGATTACACATAACATTGGCCTCTTTGAAAAAAATATGTTACTTTGACCCTGTGTGGCACTATACCATGAGATCTTTACAAGGTAATTTGATATGAGATTAAAGATTCACTGAAGGATTGTTTATTTTCTGTTTTCAGGGAAGTCCTTGACATATTTGAAAGGACTTTACTTTCGTTTAAAAGATGAGGTATTTACAGGAACGCGACCATATGCAACAGAACCTTTTGAAGAAATGTTGAAAAGGGAATTCGGGGAGACTAAAGTGATGACAGACGTATCTCATCCAAAGTAAGGATCAAGTTTTATTTTTTAATGAAGTATACCTATATAGTGGTAACATCATCCTTTATGATTGATAGGATGAGTTTGAAATGTGTCATGCTGAAAAAAATTTCAAGTCAGTGCCATGATATTAACCATCCTCGAATACTCCAGAGGTTATGATCACTTTCACTCACTGCACCCCTGAAACATGTCATGGCAAAATTGAAGGCACAAGCAAAGTAAGTTGTTGGTTCCTAAAGATAAACACTGACCAATCACAGACTGATATGCTCCTTTTGAAGATTACAAAGGAGAAACATCCCACCTCAAAGCCATTACAATATACTGTTATGTAACCTCAAAATTTGTTTGCCATACAGCAAAGGATCAAACTAATCTTGTCCACAAGGTGTTTTTATTATTTATTTTCTAAGTATATAAGGGTACAATTAAGTATATTTCCTAATTAAGCCAGGAATTTATTGGTCGGACACAAGTGGATCTATCAGATTTAGTCTGAATAGTTATATACACTCGTGATTTGAAGTGCTTTGTTTACAAAGTGCCATGCATGACCAGCCTTAGTGTACAACAAACACTCACATTGTTTATACATTATATATGTAAACATTAAATGGACGGTTCTTTTTTTCTCTGCAATAAATCATCAAAAATCTCATACCATCATAAGTGAAATTTTATTTTCATTACATCAATATCACTCTCATTTTTGGAACAAAAAATATATACGCAAGTAAATCTTCTTTTAAATTTTTGTTGCCAAAGTTCAGACTACTCACCACTGTCAGGTGTGAAACTATACGATTGAAAGACTAATAAATGCAATGTCGGGTGTTATTTCCAAATTTGTCAAATTAAAAAATGATCAGTTTTAATACACCCGGTGATTTCTCTTGAGTCATAATCATACAAGTTTCCTGTTTAATTTTCAATTTGTCACATTAACCAACCATTTTTACCAAGTCACACAAAATGTGCGATGACAAATTTTGTGGCACGATTGTGTTCTAGATACTGTAAAGTGCATGTGAATGAACATTGTGCACACCATGTATGCAAAATGTGCACAGTCACAATTGTTGTATTTTTACTTCAAATTACTTCAGTTCCATAAAGCCACCTCTTTCAGACTGAAAAGTGTCTTCTTGTGTCCAAGCGGCATCATTTTTTTGAAAATCTAGTTGAGTGATACAGTCCCTATGGGCCTCTTGTTTGAAGGTCTTCTCATCATGGCCTCTGATATGGTGGGGGTATCCATTTCCTATAACTCTACTATGCCTCTGTTCCTTCTCTATTGCTGAGTAGGGAAGGTTAATTTTTCTATACAATCTGAATTCTTAAGGTTATTGAATCCTTAAATGAATTATTTCGCCCTTATTTGTACCTTTTACAATTTGCATGGCATATTATGTATATTCGCTAATTTGTGGCATACTCAAAATGCAGTCTAGCTTTTGCCTTGAATAGCAATATAAACATGGACTTGTCCAGATGTTCAAAAGATCATATTAATCATGATAAAAAAGAAGGGAAAAAAATTACCGTTTCTTTTTTTTAAATCTTCTATAGAATGGAAAATCGTGTCATTGCTACTGTTATTGTTTTAATTTCTAGCTTGTTTATACTAACACACTTTTAAGGTTTTATGATTTTGGTGGAAATATCTCACCAATTTTGTGTGTAAATCCTTTGTTATTTACAGGGTGGTTGTAATGGGTGTATATGGAGACCGACACCCTTCGGAACTACATTTGTTTAGGACTTACTTTCCCACTATACAGAGGGAGTTCACCACCACAAGAAATGGAGTCAAGTTTGATCCACCTCCCCCGCCAAATGGTAAGATTCAGCCAAACCATGTTATTATACATTTAGGTCCATTTAAAGCCTTATTACGCCTAAATTTCTTATGTCGTTTTACTTCTGAACCTGGCATGCCATTACGTATCTTGCCCTTCACCTCTTGGTCAAGGATTCAAGGCCTACATGGGGTAATTGTCAGGTACTGACCGCAGGTTGGTGTTTTTTTCTTGGAACTCTGCTTTTCCTTCAACAACAAAACTTAGCTTGCCCTTAAACGATCCCGACTGTTAACAGGACTGAAGTAACATTAAACCAAATGATGTAACTATTTCTTCACACTGAGTGAAGTTTTTCTCACTGGGTTGACTGCCTATGAACAAAACATATTTCATAAAACTTCAAAAAATTACTGTGGCAAGTGAAACTGGGATTGATGAAGAGTTTCTGAAAGTTTTTCCTGTTTCCAGAACAAAAGATGTGGCAAGCAGCTCGATCCAGTGGTGCAGCTCCAACCTACTTTAGAGCCCATGGCAGGTTTGTGGACGGGGGATTGATAGCCAACAATCCTACTCTGGACATGCTCACAGAGATCCATGAGTACAACACTGGACTCAAGCTAAAAGTAGGAACCAAGATTTTTTTTCATATACAGTCAGTACTTGTTACCTTGAACTCGGTGGGACCATGGGAAAACTTTGAGATAACTGGGTATTCAATTTGAGTAAGTCCAATTGTTTTGTGTAAAGTTAGGCCGGGACCGTTAAAATGTTTCAAATTAAGTGGGGTCTTTGAGATATACGAGTTCGAGATAAGATGTATCAAACTAGCCTGTTATCAGTGTTGAAAATCCCACTACATTCAAGGATGTTAGGACTTCACATTGAATATGACCTATGGGCACTGATTGGCTGAAGGGTCCCATTGTTTCAATTGTGACATCACTTTTTCATGACATCATATGATTTGTCAAGTCATCAAAGACAGGGATACAGAAAGAGAATATTGAGAACTTCCAATTAAGTATCAGGTTTGTAAAATCTTAACGCAGGGGTGACAACGAGAAATGTAATATAAGTGGAAGTTTTACTGATGAGTGAAATTAAAAGAAAGGCTTATTAAAAGAGTGTAGCATGACAAACACAGAATGTTGTATAAAAGTGAAAATGAAAGATGTTATGTTAAGGCTTTATTGTATTCTGTGTGTGCTGACAGAATGAGGCCCATCTCACACATCCACTGGTCTGTGTTGTCTCCCTTGGTACTGGACGGATCCCAGTTGTTCGTAATGAGCACATTGATGTTTATCGACCTGAAAGTGTATTTGAGATTCACAAGGTAGCCAAAGGAATATCTGGACTGGTTAGCATGCTTCTGGATCAGGTAAGTTATGATAAAGATCATGAAGTCCCTTTTTAGTAACTTTCAGTTGTAATAAGCAGGTTCAGTTTTACATGTATTGCAGGAAAGGTGTTATATTGCTAAGAAAAAAAAGCACTCAGATATGAAAAATGTTTCTTTTGAAACCCCGCCCATTATGAAATATTGTTCTTTCCCGAGCGCTCATCTTTTCTCAAAAATAAATGGAAGTTTTCAAGGATTTTTCTGAACAATAACTTAGCAAGATTAGATAAAGGAAAATGTATTGAGGAAAAGTGAAATAGGAAATGAAACAAGATAGACCATGATAATTGTTTTGCTATGGTATTTATCAAAAATGGGTTTAATTTCTAGGCCACTACATCAGAGGGGAGTCCTGTGGACCGTTCACGAGCCTGGTGCAGCATGCTAAATGTCCCTTTTGCAAGATTCAGCCCACAAATTTCAGTGGACCTGCCCCTGGATTGCCATGACAACAAACAACTGATCAATATGATGTGGGAAACGCAGTGTTACATTGAGGCCAACAGACACAGAGTCCAGCGTGTGGCCAGCCTACTGAGAAAATACCACAGGATAAATATGTCCCTTCGACCACCGTCTGATGTTTCCAACTTAGTCCAAGTGGGAAACAGTTAATATATTCTCAAATATAGATATCTCCTGGAAATCTTTTATTTCCTTTTCTCTCAAGTCTTTCTTGATTTTTTTTTGGAAAATATGATTTTGAAAATGATACTTATTAGAATAATTTGAATAATGACCATTTTAACAACCACTGATAAAGTCTAATAAGGACTTTTAGTCTCGAGTAATAAAGAAGGTAACATATACTGTAACGTTATTACACAGCCACATTTATTAAGAGTTAAATGGCAGTATAAGGAGGCTTGGCAATAAAACGAAAGAGTAACACACTAGAAATCAAGATATATTGGCGTGAAGTGCGATACAGTAATAGCAAATTACATTTTGAAATGTATATGTGTTGTTTGTGAATGAAAATGGGTTGAAAAGAATTTTTTAACATTCCTTTTTTCGGTTCATCAAGATATAAAAGGAGGAACCAAGCTATTATATACTATTTGTAAATGTTATATGCTGTATTTATCTCACAATAAGCCAATGCCTGGTAATAAGCCCACCCATGTCAATTGCATAGTGTTTTGTGAACAAATGTTATATCATTGTCATGTAAAATCTGCTACTTCGAATGAAATTTTATTTTCATCCCCTGGGCTTATTGCAGGTTACATAAGAAGTGTTAGTGTTGGATAACCCTAAACAATTCTTGATGGATTGGCACCCTTTCCTGAACAAATGTTATTTGATTATTTATCTGTCATAAACTGAAAGGAGCCCTTGGATAGCTCTGCCAAAAGAGCAAAATAGTTTCCAACCTTGCCTGTAGAACTGAGGTGTATGGTTTGATCCCCTATAATCAAGTTGCTTGATTTTTCTTAGGAAGTGTTGATCATAAATGTTATTCACCAAACTGTAAAAAAATTATCAACATTTCTTTGTGTACCAAGTTATGCTTGAAAATTTCATTTTTATTCAATTTATAGTAGAATTATTTTGTGAAATTTGTTAGTTTGATTATTTTCCGTGTCTGTTTACATCCGAATTTGATCAAAACCCTTGCTGAATTTTGATTTATGCTTAAAATTGTAAATACTCACTTTTGCATTTAAAGGATGTGAACAGTCCATCTATTTCATTTAAAATATGTGTGAAAAAGGTCAAATTGGTATTTGCACTCGCTTTTGAAAAGATTGAAAACTTTGCTTTTGTTTATGTAAAAATACTCCGACAATAACAACACATGAAATCAATTAAATTTGTTTGTTTTCCAAGTATTTATTTATAAATATCAGCTAGGTATACACATATACATAAATAGTGCTTATTACAATCAAATTAAGTTATGAATCAAGGTTAAGAAGCCCTGTGATATCAAAGAAAGATAGTGAAATGGTTTTTAGCCCACAATCTAATAGATGGTGGGTTATTCAAATCGCCCTGCGTCCGTGGTCCGTGGGCCGTCCGTCCGTCATCCGTAAACAATTCTTTTTACCGCTATTTCTGGAAAAGTACTGGATGGATCTTTCTCAAATTTCATATGCAGGGTCCCCTTGGTCCCTAGTTGTGCATTGTACCTTTTTTGAACTGATTCGCATTCAAGATGGCCGACAGGTGGCCAGCTTGGATTCAGGAAGTAAAAGTTTGTTACCGCTATTTCTGAGAAAGTACTGGATGGATCTTCCTCAAATTTCATATGCAGTTTCCCCTTGGTTCCTAGTTGTGCATTGTACCTTTTTTGGACTGATTCGAATTCAAGATGGCCGACAGGCAGCCATCTTGGATTTTGGAAGTAAAAGTTTGTCACTGCTATTTCTTGGAAAGTGCTGGATGGATCTTTCTCAAATTTCATATGCAGTTTCCCCTTAGTCCCTAGTTGTGCATTGTACCTTTTTCTGACTGATTCGAATTCAAGATGGCCGACAGGTGGCCATCTTGGATTTTGGATGTAAAAGTTTGTTACTGCTATTTCTTGGAAAGTACTAGATAGATCTTTCTCAAATTCCATATGCAGTTTCCCCTTGGTCCCTAGTTGTGCATTGTACCTTTTTTGGACCGAATTCAAGATGGCCGACAGGCAGCCATATTGGATTTTGGAAGTAAAAGTTTGTTACTGCTATTTCTTGGAAAGTACTAGATGGATCTTTCTCAAATTTCATATGCAGGTTCCCCTTGGTCCCTAGTTGTGCATTGTACCTTTTTTGGACTGATTCGAATTCAAGATGGCCGACAGGCAGCCATCTTGGATTTTGGAAGTAAAAGTTTGTTACTGCTATTTCTTGGAAAGTACTAGATGGATCTTTCTCAAATTTCATATGCAGGTTCCCTTTGGTTCCAAGTTGTGCATTACACCTTTTCGGACTGATCTGAAATCAAGATGGCTGACAGGCAGCCATCTTGGATTTTGAGAGTAAAATCTTGTTACTGATATATCTGAGGAAGTACTGGATGGATCCTTCTGATATTTCATAGATATTGGTTTCCCTTGGTCCCTAGTTGTGCATTGTACCTTTTTTGGACTGATTTGAAATCAAGGTGGCCCACAGGCAGCCATCTTGGATGTCGACAGTAATACAGCACAAGCATATTGTCCATTATCCACCTGTAACTGACTGCTATCTAATAATACTTTGGGATCTTTTTCAAATGATATTTGCTAATAGGTGCTTAATAAAAATATCTTGTGCCATCATTGAGTACATTCAATGAAGACCAGTTCATGAACATTTACAACACCTGTAACAAACAAAAAAAAAATCTTCAAGAACTGAAAACAGATCCTCAAATGGTGGGCGCCAAGATCCCTCTGAGATTTCTGGTTTTGTTTTACAATCAAGTTATAAACATTAATCCTTGTCGTTTCAATCACAACATTTCCAAGTGTCACCAGTAAGTGGGTTATATATTGGCTGACTAGCTTTGTCTCTATACACAACAATTCATCATGGGATTAACTTTTTTATGTTTTATTTCCTCATTATCCATACACAGCATCCCACTGTTTAGCCAACACACTCGGAACTCACGTTGGCTCTATCTCTTCAGTTAAAAGGTGTTACTATAATGTGAAAGTTTGGCTCCATGTTACTTAGTTAAAAATTAATACTGTCCTCACTAGAATAAATCATTTGAATATAATGTTCAATGTTCTTATAATGATAAATCATGATACACTTTTCTAAGCTTTACATAAAAATTCAAACAAATTTTCACAATCATTTCAGTTTAATAGCTTGTAATAGTATAGACATGCACATTTTTGAATTACGTTTTTTGCAAGAACTTTGATAATTTGATGTGCACCGTTGCTTTTTTTTAAAATCTTTTTTTTTTTTTTTGTAACTAAGGGCCACCGAGTGATATTTTTTGTCTTTAGTTTCAAAACTCAGCAAACTTTCTTACCATGGTGACACTGCAGCAGGAAATATAAATATTGTGATAATTAATTGAAATGCTAAATTTGCATTCCATTGTTATGTTTGTTATACTTTTAGCACAAATAACATGCAATGTATAATTATGGAAATGTATTTTGATGTGAACTTCATTTCTGTCTTTATTTATTAATGAATTGATCATACTAAGTCTTGTACATGTAATGAATAGATTTATTTGATTTTTTATCCATAATCAAAATTTCAATTATTATGTAAAGTCCTACTTTAAGCATCATTTGGCAAATTTATGAATGTGAGAAAATTTCTGTGAAAACTTCCGTTTGTTAATTATGCAAAGATAAGGTTGGGTAGCATCTAAATTATGCACAGATAAGGTTGGGTTGCATCTATTGGGAACTATGTGGGTCCCACTTGAATACAAATTGATGTTAGACAAAATTCAGAAGGTCGTCATTTAAAAAACCATGAGACCAAACTGCATACTCAAATGTACAGGTGTACTAGGTATGTTTACTGGTAAAGTGCAATGTTACCATGCCACATGTTTTTTCTTGACATCATAGCACAGGTACAGTGCAGGGCTTTCTAACTTTATCATCATGCCTTAAAATCATAAATTCATGTTACCAAAGATATACAGACGTATTAAAACTTGTTAACTGTTTACAAATGCATTTTGAATGTGATATTTAATTTCAAAATGCTTCTTGATTGTTGATTTTATATGCTGTTTATTTGTTGATATGTCTGGCTTGTTGAGTACAAATACGATTGTTGATTTTTCTACTGTTTTTTTCATTTCTATGCTTGTTATAATGTATATAACATCTTGTATGTAATTAGATATTTAACGTTCTGGATCCTTGATATACACTATGTATTACCGGTTTCATTTAACTAGTCCCATACTTTTTGACTGGTATCTTTGGAAAGTTGGTATAAATGATGGCTGTAGATGTGGGGTTTTTTTTTTATCTTGGTTTTAATTTTGTCAGTGTAATGAGAGAACTGTTTGTTTCTGTAATCTGTGTGCGGGTATATCTTTATACCTGTCCAAAAATCATATATGCATATATATTATTCATTTCCCAGCATTTTTAGATTATTATATATATACATGTAAGCTGCATGTGATAGTTACTGTCCTTTATCATTTATTATTACACTGATGCAGTTGTGATTTAGACAATAAAAATCATATGAGTCAATGAACAAACTTGCATATTCAAATCATTGTGCTACATCTTTCTGAAAATTATTATTGATTCTTTGGCAATTTTGACTCTCACGATCGGATTAGAAATACGACAAAAGAGGTTGCAGTCGCTGTGTAACAGGACCCTGCTGTACTTTCACAGTAGATTCTGGAGGGAATCACATTTTCCCATTTCAGCATTGCCATGGAATACTTGTTCTTCAGTCCTTTGGTAACATGATGCATATGATATGCCCCAGTAATTTTATAGGGGGTGGGGGTGATGGTGTTGAAGGAGTTAGGCATATATAGTATAACCTTTATCCATCCATCCTTCCACTTCCTGCCACATCTCATTCTTAACCAGTGTCATATCTTGAGAACCTCTCAACCAATTTGGTTCATATTTACACTGTATTATCATATCATCCAGTTCTACACCTGACCAAGTGCTCATTTGCATA